ATGTCACAGATCCAAGTTAGTTTCAACGAAGCATTTTAGAGTAATAGTTTGTTGTCCAATATCATCCTAAGCTCCTTACCAATAATCCCATACATTTCTCTGTGTTTACCCATTTGTTTGCTTTTTGAGGAAATGTAATACTTGCTTCCGGCTTAAATGGATTCCAGTTAAAGATAGTAAGGTTCTTCTATATAAGTTGAATATCATGTATTGACTTATTTTCATTAACCTTTATACGCGATTTCGTTAGCTAGGCCTCAAATTGGTGCAAGTTTCTCTGGAGATTTTCCATTGCCATGTATAGAATCACATTAGAGCCAAAATAGCCGTACGATCTGCAAATGTTGACACACTTACAGTTGGTAGATTCTGCCGTCATAAGCCAGAATTTCACATTTTACAGTAGCTATGAGAACGTGTTGTAATCCTCAAATTGCAACGTTTTAAGGAAAAAAATTATTTTGGTCTGTAGCCGGTTAAAATTGATAACACCTTCTAATGGATTCATTAATTTTGCAGAGGATGCCTATATACGAGGAGCACGCTGTATATTTTGAGATGCGCATGAAGTATACTAGTGAAACCGGTAACAGTCCACTATTAGAAAGGGTAGTCTTTTATTAGTAAGTCGTTGCATTCAGTTCATTTGCAAGCATCTTCCAGTGCACGTGGCGTGAACAAATTTAAGAGGAAACATGTAGTTGTCTCGAGGGAGTTAATGCGCTATGATTTACCATGAGCTTAAAGTCGGTTTATCAATTAATCGAACGGATACAACTGGTATTTGGTAATGAAGCTCCGTCCTGGGCAAGTGTGTCTCGGTGGTGCCGAATTTAAAAGAGGGCGTGTTTCATTGGCTGATGAAGAAAGTAGTGGCAGCTCATGTTCTAGTGTGACTCCAGAAAACATTGCTGAAGTTCAGCGGCTAATTGAAGAAGATGCTCGCTGCATATATGCGACTATAGAGGCAACTCTTGGGGTAGGATCCGCAACAGTGCACACCATTTTGCATGATCATCATCATCATCATCACGACAATGACTCTAGCCACACTGTCCAAGTAACTGTAAATGCTAGAGCATCCGTCTTACTCGCCAGACTTGGCAATGTGTGACTTCTGGCTCTTCAATCAAGAATTGGAAAAAAAATCTGCACGGTTGAAAATTGTCATCCCAAGAGGAAATCGATCAAGCAATTAATCAGTTTGTTGAAGGCAATCCAAAAACTCTCTGGCTAGAAGCATTTCATTTGAGGAAGGTCAGGTTACAGAAGTGCATCGGTGCTGGAGGAGAATACCTCAAACATAAATAAACTAGTTTTCGAAAAATAGTTTTTAGTTTTCGTGTATCTCAAAATATATAGCCTGGCATATACTGTTTCCTCAGAATTGTCTAAGCTGCTGTTTTTTTAATTAATAAAACAATAAGTACTAAGCAGTGTTGTTTATCGCACATTCAGCATATATAATCTTTAATACATGAAACCTATAAAAAATGTACAGTATCCTTACAAATATACTAAGTGACCGACTGAAAGTAATTAAGAATGTTATGAATTCGGTGTAATAAAGTGTATGTTTTATAGTATCTGCTAATGCCATTGCTATGGTTATAAATTTAAACACACTATCTGTATGGTTTCTAAGGCAAGAATACACTAAGTACGGGTCATTTGCTGTGTTTCAAATTATTGTTGTGCAAGTACTGTATTCTCATTTGAGATGATCTTAAAATGGTAGTTATTGAAAAAAATTAGAGTTTTGGTATTTATCATGACTTCTACTGTATTTTATCATCATAATATGCTTCTTCTACGTTACTTCATATTATAATGAGGATATCCCATTTTCGCATTTTCCCACTTTCTCGGTTCTGGCTTATGACGGCAGAGATCTGCTGTATACAGAAGGCTGCGAGATCCGTCAATCGATAGACTGAAGACTGAAATCGTTCTTTGCAAATCATTTTCGCTGTGCCTAAAGGGGCAACTTCTTAGATACATATGTAAGTTTACGAAATAACACATTTTTGCATGCGAGTTCAACCCTGTAGCACACAAAATCTTTCCAGAAGGTTGACAAGTCTGCTTAGTCGCACTCAGTGCGACGGCCCTTACGCCTGTTTATGTTATACATTCCATTCCTTCTCTGGGTACTTATTTACAGGATAAACTTTCTTAAAGATACGGGCGTGGCTCGAATTGCAGTGTTGATGTCCTATTGGGTGTAGTGTCTTGGTTACAGCAATCACTGAGTGTTTCCTTTATTCTACTGTACTGCGTGGATTGATAACCATAATATTTTTATACTCATGATCATGAATGTCTTAAGCTATGTTTATAAAGATGCTATATTTTTTACCCACATAATTGAATTTATGGCTTACGACTTGTTATTGAATATCCGCAGATGGGACGCCTTCAGGTTTTGGGGGTTGTTATGGGACTTTCGGAGCCCGTTTGCTGGGTTGAGGTAGTTATGTTAATTACCACTTGGTTTTCTCTTTCAGGGGAAACGTCGGAGCGTTTGGGATGTTGACACGGTAGCCGTTGGCCGAAGTGGCATCCTAGGTCTGAATGACCGCTTAACTATCTTCTCTTGGCAATGGCTGGAGTCTGAATGTGTCTCATGGCAGGATGTGTGAAGGGATTGTTACTTTAATGATAGTCATATTGCTCGGTTATCTCTAATTCAGGGGTAACGTTGGAGCTTTGGGGTATTGACACAACGGCCGTTGGCCAACCTGATATCCCGGTTCCTCGACTGTCTTTTTTTGTAACAATCGTTCAACCCGACACGTCTGTCCATACACCTAGCGACCAAAAAGCTAGTGTGTGTGACGACTCCTAGTCAGTCTGTGTGACGACTTAATGATAAGTCTGTGTGACGGTCAGGATCAGTCTGTGTGACGATCCCATGATTCAGTCTATGTGACGAATCCTTCTAGTAGTTGAGGTACACTAATGTAATGGTAAATAATAGATTTGTGCATGTGATGTCATGCGTCGATTGAATACGGGAGATACTCATAAGTCTTTTTCTAAAAATAGGTGTTGGCCCCGACAATCCGATCATATCGCCCTTATCGCTTGCCGAAGGAGGATAACTCGTTATCGTTTCGTCACCAAGTAAGTGACTTTGATATTACCCTGATATTGTTGCCCATATCGAATTGTTTACGTACTGCCCATGTAGTAAAAATGAAATGGTACGGGATGGTACTTCGAAATCTTCTAAGATGAGATTTTTTTTTGCACTAGCCAGATCCAATCTTGTATATGTATATTTCTAATTATGGACAAACACACGACGTCACAACATCCATGGCGAAGGCGAGATTCGAACTCGCGGCCCGATCGGCCGTCTGATCAGTAGCACGACACTCTGATCCACGCGGCCAACCGAGGTCCCTCTAAGATGAGATGTTTTCAAGTTTATCGTTATATTCCATTATTATCATATCTCGTTCTTGTCCTACACATATGGTACACAAATAAATAATGACACCAGTTCCTATAAAAATATCCTACTTTTCTCTATTACGGAGATACACGCCCCTTGCTGAAGTACTGCAAATCGCTTTTCCTCAAATAACTATTGAACGAAACCAATTAGGGCCTCATGAGATGGTATCCATGCAAAACAAGTAACTCATTCTAATCGCCAGATACCAGCTAGCCACATCGCAATATTTCTTATCTTTGCCCTCTGTATTATAACAGCTAAGACAATATATTTTTGCAACGCCTAATCCTATAGCCGAAAAATGTACGTTTGACTTAGATAAAATGAGCAATTTCTTTGAAAGACAGTCTGACTTCAATACAGTCCATCCGTTTTGGTCCTGGATACAATATACTGGTTTCGCTGTCTTGAAAGTACCTCAATCCTGATAACAGAATCGTATTCAGCGACATGACGTAAATTTTCAGATCACTCAATCAAGTTTTA